TCTTAACCTAATGGGGATAAGGAATTTTTTTATGTCTAATTTATTTGCTGAATGAACAGCTAGAGAATTAGGAAGGTTTTGAAAGCGCCGTCAAGTGGGAGTCACGTCGCTTGGTTAGCGAGTTAAACATGGAAAGGAAAACGAGAAAGTTGAGGACAGACACATACACATGAAATGTAAGTTGGGTTAGTAGTAACTTTACTTGTTGGTAAAGCGCACACGTTGCTATATTCATCAAGTCGCAATCCAAGTCGCGTGAGACGTGCACTTAAATAAAGAAAGATCTTGAGACGTACCTTCACCTTGTGCATCGTATCCACCACCTTCACATCCTGTGCTTCCTTCCTTCCTTCTTCAATCTTCGATCATTCATTCACCACGCTTCGGAAACTCCAAAATATCCTCCTCTATCACGTGCTTCTTTTTATTTCTTTCCTGATTTTTTTAATTCATGCCTTTCATCCCTCACTTTCCCACTATATATATACATACACGATACTCCATCTCCCTCACAACTTCTTGTTGTGGCGCACAGTTGCTTGTTCCGTCGTCATCTTCTGTTGTTTTCTCCCTTCTTTCCACAAGCTAAGATGTCTTGGGTTCGAGGGAGCTTCATTGGAAGAGGGAGCTTCGCCGCCGTTCACCTTGCAGTACCTACCAACGGTGCCTCTCAGATTATTTCTGCTCCCACCGTTGTCAAATCGTCGGAAGTTCTCTGCTGTTCTTTTCTCAAGAACGAGAAGGAGGTTTTGGATGGGTCTTGGATTTTGTCCCCAAATTATAACTTGTTCTGGGGATGGGTATAGCTTGGAGAATGGTGTGGAGTATTATATTTGTTCTTGGATATATGCCGCAGGTGGTAACCTTGCGGACCACATCAAGAGCAGGGTGGTCGGTTTGCCGGAGTGTGATGTCCGGAGGTACACCGTGTCGATTCTGAAAGGAATCCAGCATATGCACGCGAAAGGTTTTGTTCACTGTGATATCAAGCTTCAGAACGTTCTTCTGTTCGACAATGGAGATGTCAAAATTGCGGACTTCGGCCTGGCGAAGAGAACAGGGGAGAAAGAACAGAGCAGGGAGGGAAGCAGTGCGAATGGAGGGGAACTCCTCTGTTTTATGTCGCCGGAATCGGTGAAAGACAACGTGTATGACTCACCGGCGGATATATGGTCTCTCGGCTGTGCTGTGGTGGAGATGGTGACCGGAAGACCCGCCTGGGATAGCCCGAAAGGATCGGAATTGAGTAATATCTATTCATTGTTGCTTCGAATTGGGGTTGGAGAAGAACTACCGGAAATTCCCGACGAATTATCAGAAGACGGGAAGGATTTTCTGAGGAAATGTCTGGTGAAGGATCCTGAAAAGAGATGGACGGCGGAGATGCTTTTGAAGCATCCCTTCCTAAAGCAGGCCGATAAAGAATCGTCGCCGAGAAGTCACTTCGATTTTCCAGATTGGGTTTCGAGCACAAGCAGCTTGGCTCCGAATTCACCGGAATCCGACGAATGGCGCGAATGGAAATTCGATGCGTCGTCGAGTTTTACTAGTTTCTGTTCGCCTGTCGATCGAGTCCGACAAATGGTGACTGATGAGAGACCCAATTGGCCGGAATCGGAATCTGAAAGTTGGGTGGTTGTTAGGTGAAAATAGAATATCAAAGCAGTGACGGAAAAAGCAGAGACCTCGACCCCGAAGCTATCTGGAAAATTTTTGATAGCACAAAAGGAGGTCTACTTCGACTTTGATTCTTTTTGTTTTTTTTCCGGGACATTGGTTCAGTGATACCAATTGAATTGAGGTTGTAAATTACATAGGATTAGGAAATGACCAGAATCGATTTAAGAATTTTCACAGGTCGAGTGTACAGAAAGCAACAGGCTCCAGTCTCGATTGATTATAATATACTACCAGTTTTGGGATTTTTTAGCTTGCAGTTCCTTGATTTTATATACTAAAATTCAGCTCGCTTGTTTAGTTTCCTTCACACAACTCTTTAACTTTTCGCAATTTATGAATCGAAAAAGAAGCTAAAAAATAAACATAGATTTTCTTTTGATGCAAAAGTTTAGCATTCTTATTCGAAAGAATATGCAACGCAATTTAAGGGGTGAATTGATTTTTTATGGTATGGCTTGACTAATATGATTTGGCGTGCGTATACGTGTATCTTGGTAAAGAAAAATTTAGATGAGTTAGGTTTATTTTATCACGCTCAAGACATACCTTCAAACTTAAAAAACACTTATAAAAATATTTACAGATTGTCTACTAATAAAGTTTTCATTTTGATTGTGAGATTTAAACTCATAGTCTTATGGATTATGAGTTAACTTATTACCAACTAGAACTATTCTTGTTTACAATTTTATATATATTTTACATTATAAAATATTAGCCGAGTGCAGATATTCATCTATGCTCAAGCCACTTTCTAGAGCATGATCGAGCGTTGATGCTCATATCAAATCATCACTGCACCTATCATGCGTTGATGTGAAATACAATCTCACACAGTTACTTGTTGCCTGTAGATGCGGAATCCAAGCGTGCATGTGCTCAAGTTTAGTTTTGATATTCCTGACGGGATCATCTAAATTGACCATGGGGCGTCCAAAGTTTGAGTTTTAGATTTGTAATTTCTTAAGCAATCAAATTGCTTTTAAAAATAAATTCTTAAAAATTATCTATACTTTAGATTTCATAACTACTGCCTTCGGTCCTTAATATAAGATCTTATTTGATTTTTATTTTGGTCCTAAATATAAGACCCCAATCCACTTTGTCTCTCATATTTATGTATTTTTTTCCAGATAGTCCTTCTAATAATTGTAGTTCTAGCCAATATAGTTGATTAGTAAGGATATTTTAAGAAAGACAACACCTATTAATTACAAATAACTAACTTAACTTCTTTCTTTAATCTCCTCAAATTGGTTAACTGGGTCTTATAATTAAGACCGGAGGTAGTATTAAATAAAAAACATTTATTAAAATTATAAAAACATATAATGAGCATCCAACAAGCTAATTTCATGTAAACGTTATCTCCAAATATACAAGGCCAGACCTACCACTGTAGCTATCATACGTCGATGCAAGATACAAATGTAAACTTGAACCATATAAATTAAAATTTCACTCTTTTTTGGCCAGTAAATTAAAATATCTCATTTTGCATATTAGTCCGACCATTCCCTGTTGCCCCATGACACCAACGCTTGTGTTCCTTTCATACATGAGAATTAGGTGAAATAGGAATGAGAATCCTAAAACAAGCATGTGGTGAACCCTTCTTAGCTATCAAAAAGCATGCTTCTCATAAATGAAATGAAATAAGGTTCAACAAAAATACAATAAAAAGAAACAACCGAACCCCACAAAAAAAAAAAAAAGAAACTATCCTGTATTAATTTAAAGTTGCGCATGTTATAATGGAGGTTTCCACACCCAATTCACAGGACAAAGATTTCTTTAACAAATTTTGACCACCGAATTAGCTATTAAATTTGTTTTCCTGACGGAAATGTGTTTTTTTTAAAATCAAATTCCTTAAAATAAGGATAGAATATCGCACTCTTCATTCAAGAGGAGGAACATTTTTGTTGAGACCGTTGATAAGAATAAAGCATTGCAATGCATTCAGCCATGAAAATAGAGTATTTGCAGTTTGTAAAAACATATTTAAATTTATAATTAAATACTAAAATGGCATTGACTCTTTTTCTCCCCTGGTTTTAATTTTTGGGTGCCGTCATATCACATATGATATTCAAAAGGCCAGGATGTTTTTTTAAAGCATAGGTATCCTTCTATTGGAAGTAATCCTATTCAAAGCACTGTAGGGTATTAAATGTAAGCACCTCTCCTAGCAAGAATTTAAACCTTAATTTATCATGTTGTGAGGAGCTAACCCCTTCTGCTAGATCCAACTCCGTTGGTTCAAAAGGCCAGATTGCAGTGAAGGAGGTTGGTCCTAGTGTGATCTGATGGTTTTACCTTTGGTCCCGTTTCTCCTTCTCTCTAAACTGGGCCTCTTTCATCGTTAACTTTGGACCAACTCACATGGTACATTATCTAAACTACACATATATCAGCGTGTACAGGTTTGGACTTAAATCTATTTTTTATTTTAATAATAAAAGTAAAATATAATCATTCAAATTAAGTCCATTTTTTTGGGTGGTTAAGCGCAAAGATCCAAATCAAATATTGAACAGTAAACAATGATGTACTAGTATTCTATTATTCCTCGTTCAAAACCACGTATGAATATGATTGACCTTGACCTAGAGCATATGGCGGCTTATAATCTGGGTGACGGTGATCTTTAATTTGCGGTTAGTCTTTGCATTACCCATAACCATCAGGAAAGCAATTAAAAATACATGTTTAATATAAAAACTAATTGACTAGTTTGAATAGATTAAAAAAACTAATTTAGTTATTTGCAATAAAGAGATATTGTTTTTTTAAATATCCTTAATAATTAAGTGTGTTGACTAGAACTATCATTATTACAAGTACTACTTTAAAAAAAGGAATAAATACGAGAGACCAAGTGAATTGAAATCTTATATTTAGAATTAAAATAAAAGTTAAACAAGTTCTTATATTAAAAACAGGAAATACTACCTCCGGTTTTAATTATAAAAGCTAGTTAACTAATTTGAGAAAATTAAGAAAATAAGCTAAGTTAGTTATTTGTAATAAATAGGTGTTATCTTTTCTAAAATATCTTTACTAATCAAGTGTATTAGCTAGAACTACCATTATTAGAAGGACTATTTTGAAAAAAAAAAGTATAAATATGAGAGACAAAATGAATTGGAATCTTATAATTAAAATCAAAATAAAAGTCAAATAATGTCTTAAATAAAGGAGGTAAATAGTATTAAAATTGTTAGAGGTGCCAGCGATTTTTCCTCTATGGACGGATTGAATTTAATCACTTCTCATTACCCATCAAAATCAAACCTCTCCCATTTTTGCCGACGACAAAAAACGAAAGCCACATGTTTCTCTCTTATTAATATGGCTAATTGAAGAACTTGATATAAAAGACAAAAGACGATCGAAATAAAACAAAATACTAAAGCACGCAAACAGAGCAAGTCTAAATCAGTGGTCCGGCAAATCCATGCAGAATCTGGCAGTGAACACCAGAGGAACCTGCTCCTTCGTGACGATTTTCACCAGTATCTGTATCACTGATAAGTACACATGTTCTTTAGCGAGATGGCCTTGTTCATCTTCTTCGGGTCCATATCCACCATGCACTCTACCTTCTTGTAGAACTTCGGCTTCACCAGTTCTCCCAACACCTTAGCCCTCGATCGCACCATGAAGCTCAGTTTCAACGGCACACTCTCCGCCGGTGCTCCGTTCACGCTGCTCAAGCTTGCTCCCCCTCCGTACAACGGTATGCCGCTCCCTATCAGCGTCACTCTGATCGATCTCTGGCTTTTCCTCGACTGATAGAACTTTGTTATCTGCAAATCCAAATCAAATCCCACACCCTGTTATTCAATAATCCTAAGTTAATTTAAATTTAAGTGATGAATTGCGCACGTACGGTGCCGGTGGCCAGAGTGAGCTGGTAATAAGTGAGATCTAGAGGCGTGGCGGTCACATGGACCCCGAAAAATGTCGCCGTGTTACGAAATGTCAGTTTCACAGAGGAATTCATGGACACCATGCTGGTCGGTACTCCTGATCCGTCCTCGCCCGCTTGAATCACAAATTGATTGAACACTATACTCTGTCCAACAAGACAACGATAATGCATTTAGATTAATCTGCGATTTCAAGAAATCAGAGTCTCAAAATGCAGGGTAGTCAGGTAGTTACCTTCATTGATATTGTGGGTTTCTGAGGGCGACTGGCTCCCCATAGGATCAAAGAGAAAACAGAGAACAAGGCGACGAAACCAAGAACGAAAACGGGAAAATAGCATCGGCGAGGGAGGCCTTGTTGGGAAGCGTCGTGAGGGTCGAGGAGGCCTTCTTCTTCGATGGCGCGGAACTGATCTTTCCAGGGTCGCCAAGTACTTTTCCGGTGAGAGGAACTGGTCTTGCGGGAGCCGGAGAAGCGGGTGGAGGAAGACTCGCGGGAATGTGGGCCCAGGGAAGAGTTGGAGTGGGAGTGCGGCGGAGAGCCCAAGGGGCTCTGGAGAGGGCTAGAATGGAAGGAGTTGGTGGTCTTCTCGCCGTCGTGGGAAGAGTCGCGAGACGGGCTCTGAACATAATAAACCGGGCGGCGAGGTGATCGTCCCGGCGACGACTGGCTCAGGCTGCTCACCTCAGAGTCGGTCTTGGCAAGCACTGATGACATGGCGACAGAGAAAAAGAAGAGGTATGAAAATCTAGAACGGAGAAATGCTTAGATTCATATGTATGGAGGCCAAGTTGATGAACATGCAGATGGGATAGAGAATAGTAGTGCTAATAGGTAAGAACGTACTTGCTGGTGCAGAAAGCGAGGGTTTGTGAAGTGGGAGTGGGGATTCTCGTATTTGTTTATTGTTTACGAAGGCTTTATTTATGGGGAAGTAATTAATACGATGCCCTGGTTTTTGTCCATTGTCAGAGATGGCATTGCAATTTGGATCCTTTCTTCCTTTGATGACACGCCCCGTGCACTAACTTAGGTCAACCAGAGAAGAAGATAATCCTTTTTTTTTTTCAATACAAAGATAATCCATTTTTTAAGTGTTAACAATAATCTCCGGATCTACTCGGCCCATTAGTCTAACTTTTAGCAGCCACCGAGGATCAATATGTGAGTTAGGCCCACTTTGGTACGCCGGATATAACCCTTTTAGGCTATACAACCAATGCTTTAGCCCAAAAAAAACTACAGCGCGGACGCAGGAGGGGTAATAACATGTTACTCTCATGTAATTATGGATCCGTTTGAATTAGTGATTAGAAAAGTAACTTATTATCAATTTGGTCTATAGAAAAGTGACATTAGATAAGTTGAATTGTGTTTTGATTGGAGTTCATAAAAATTAGTTTGCAAAAGTGAGATTGACAAAGAGTTTTTTGGATTATGGTTGAGTAAAAGTAAGTTTGGTTGTAAAATGACCAAAATGGGTATGAGTTTTAATAAATAATAAAATATCATTAAAAAAATAATTTCACATAATACAATAAAATTAAAATAAATTAATATGAAGAAGTCAAATTTAATGTGTGAATTAAATTTTAAAACTTTACAGAAATCATAAGAAATATTTTAAATATAAAGTGAAATATGAAAAAAATAAAAGTATATTTTTAGGAGCATATTTAAAAACAAAAGTATATTTCTAACTTATTTATTACTTTTCACTAATTTTAACTGATTTTTTGTTATTAGAAATCAGTTATTTGAGACTTATAATAAGAACCAAAGAATGTAATAAATTTCTTAGTTTTTTTCTCTCTCCATGTTTTAAAAGCTATACGTCATAAGCTGTTAATTTTAACTTATAGTTTATTGTAACTTTTCATACAAAAGTCAGATTGCTCAATCGTTCATCCAAACAGCATCCAAATTTTCAGTTGAGCTTCTATCAAATTTAAACTACTTTTCACTCTTGAAAAGCCTAACCAAACAGGCACTATGTTATGTTATGTTTAGTTTCTTTTAAGCTGCACGTATGGATCGAGCCGGTGGGCTGTGTCATACAGTGCAACCTAAGTGCCGCTAAACAGTTACTAATTCCTAACACACAAATGGGGTTTGGTGGTACCATACCGCCATATCTGATCCAAATTGATCTAAATAAAATTAAACAAGAAGCAGGCGGCGTTTCCAAAATAATGGCAAAAGCTGGGCTTGTGTTGCGAGCCTTCGGAACAAGAATGTCAGCACCCTTGATAGTTTCTGTACCAGAATAGATGGTTTCTAGGTCCCAGTTGGAGAGTGTAAGGGATCTCAAAGCCTGTATTTCACCTCCTAAAATATGAGATGAACCACAATGAACAAAGATCAGGTGGAAAACCTCTACAACATCTGTATGAAGTTTAATTTTGGAGACCCCTAAACCTATATGAATAGCCTGGATTTTTGCTGTGGTTGAGATCTATCACCTTGCTCTAGCGGCTAGTCCTTGGCTACTTAGGGAGCCATCTACGTCAACATGTACAGAACCAGTTGGAAATGGGGTCCGTTTTCAACAGCTTTTTTAGTGTATTCTTAAATTACCTTGAACTCGAAACTAATTTCTAGTCAGGAGTATTAAAGACTAAGATCTTCTCAATAAGTGTATTTTTTTTCAGGACTGAATTGTTAAGATTTGATAATATTGACTATATGCAAGATTCTTCTATATGGTCGGTCGCAACTCGCAATAAAAAGGTAGTGTGTGTGTGTCGTAAATCTTTCTTTTTGCGCAATAAATTTTTTTTGAAAAACAAAAAACCTTCCTCTCGTTTGTAACTGGCTTGTGATGAGTGTATATATATATATATATATATATATATATGTTTATTTATTTTTCATTATAAGGATGAGCCATGATAAATGATGATATTATTTTCTGCAGATGACCTCTGAACCTTGTTTTATTTTTAATTTTAAATAGTACCGTATAAAACAAATAAAGATTATTTCTGTAATCAATATCAATATAAATGCCAGCAAAACTTTTATGTGGAGACGCCGTTTTTTTCTAAGCTGTTTGAACCATGATGGCGGCATTGAGTTTTGCGCGTCAAGTAAAATATAAAATGGTTAGTAAATTGTTCTACTTAAAAGGTTATAAATAATACAATTTATTTTTCATACTTTTTAAATATAAATAAGTACGTACATCTAATTATACAAAAACTCTATCTTCATTCAAAAAAATTATACAAAAACTCCAGTAAAAAAAAAATTTCACAATGCAGACTGTCGTTGTGGATCAAATTAAACTCCTCAGATGATTCGTTTTACTCCCATTTAATACATGTAGAGGCATTATTAATCCGTACGTAGTTGTAAAAATTCTTGGACCGTTAAGCTGCTTTCTAATTTGAACTGAGGTGTACTTGTATTCCAGGCAGTTTCCTTGGATCTGGTTGTTGGGCTTGTTATTATGACAATTTAATGGAACACTTCAATTTTTTCTTACCTTAATTATGGGTGATTAAGTTTAGGCTGTGATTATTGTAAATAGTATTAGGTCATGAATGATTACTGGGTTTATACAAGGTTTAGGAATGAATTTTGTGCTTGATTGAGGGGTGGAAGAGAGTGAAGTTAGAAGGATTTAAGGAATGCCTATTAGTGTTCCAACACCATCTCATTGGTGCTACAACACCAGTGGGAGGAGGAAAAATTATAGCAGTTAGAGATCTTACAGCAATTTCACGATGATCTAGCACCAGATTCAGATTAGTAATAAATTGTAGCAAAAAAGGCGAGAAAAATAGAAAGAAAGAAGGAAGAACAAAAGAGGCTTGACTTCCTCTGCTAGGACTTATAGTTCCGTTTGATACGAAGCATTGAAAATGAGGGATTTATATTGAGGTTACAATTGAAAAAAAATCATTAAAATAGTATTTAGCATGAGTAATTGCTTATTATATGGGATTAGACAAACCTATAGACGTGGGATTAGGGAATACCACTTCCTCCCATGGTAATCTCTAATCCCATATACATGGGTTTGATTAATCTCATATAACAAACAATCTCTTATACCAAAATAGATTTTTGCAATCCCAATCCCAATCCCAATCCCTTGTATTCAATACTTCTTACCAAATGTAACCTATGATTTTAGCATCTTGGGAGTATTTCCAAGATCCTAATCATTCAGGTAAGCAATTCTAACTTAATTTTCATCTCTTGATCTTGGTTTTTGATAATGGGTAGTTCAGGGCTTTTGTTGGTTTTTGAATTGGGAAACATTTCACTAATTGTTTAAATAGTGTTTATGGGAGTGCATTTTTAGTGTTTAATTTTTTTGTTTTGTTGGGGGGGGGGTTACTCTATTGCATGATTTAAAGGATATGGAGTTACGGTTTGATGATCAATGGGAGTTTAGTTGAGATTTTATAATTCCACATGTGAAGAAGTGACTTCATGGTTTATTATGATTACTTGGGGTTGGATTAAAATTAATTGGTTTAGTTTATTATTTAAGCTTAAATTTCACATGAATATATTGAAGTTGAACCCAAATTAGACAGTTTTGGGAATAGTGTAATTTTTAGAGGATTCAATGGTTGATTAAGGGTTGTAGTGGATTAGTGAGTTTAAGAAAATATTGAATTTGAGATTGGAAGGAAGAGTTGGAAATTAGGAAGTGAGAATTTGGAAATTCTAAGCTATAGAATTAGTGTTAATAACTTGTTTAGTGTTGGTATTTGTTTTCATGCAGATTTACCTTGAATTGGATTATGAGGATTATCTTGTACTTTTGATGATTCTATATTGCCAAATGCCAAGTCTAAATTCAAATATTGCTATAGATCCAATGGCCAACACCCCTCCCATCATGACTACTCTCTATTGTTGTTATCATTTTTCTCTAATAATATTTATATTTTTTTACAATTTTTATATAAAATGCACAATAATCAGTTTTCATTGTTTTTTTTAAAATTTTTATTATATTAATAAAATTCGAACTTCAATTTATAAAAAATGTGTACCGAACATATCATATCAGTGTTTGGTGCAGAGAAAGGATCAAGAGGAACGCTTCAGAACATATTATTACCATCTTCCCTGCGATGAATACACAATAGCTAATCTCAAGTCCATCCCATTTCCCATTTGAAGGCTCAGCTAGACTAGCACAAGAACCTCATTATTTTCAAGACCCAGAACAGAAATACTGACCCTAAATTTTCTTATTTAATAAAGAAATACAAGATCATACATTAGTTTGGGACAACAAAATCATACAATTTAAAAGCACTTTAAACACCCGCATATCCTGACTGTATAAAAGGATTTATTTCCTCCCACTCGTACCAGAATCTTATTCAGGCCACGATCAATCGGTCCACAAGGCATGCAATTTTATTCACCTTGTTACTGCAGCTCCCCGACAGGTGCCTCATTGAGCCACAGAAAATGAATGAATTCATACAACTTCGCACTTACGCTAACCTGGTTAGGAAGCAATAAATTCAGAATCATAGAAGACGCAAATAATAGAATAATATGGGGTAAGATAATAGTCTATGACCTTATATGGAGTCGGGTTAAGTCTCCTCATGTGATCAGGTCGCATTTGTTCCAGTTGTTTAATACATCGCTCTCTAATGTCGTTTAAAGGAGGTAACGTCTCTCTCTTGTTAACTTCAATAAACAAGTACACATGTTACGCACAGAAAAGTAAAAATTTGACAATCAAGCTGATTTAGCTGTATATTAATAGCCCTTAGATAGTTTTGTAAAGAGTAACTCTGATTTTTTTTTTTTAACTAAGATATGTTCATTATAAAGTATGTTATGCAATCTTTTGTTATCACCTGAACTCCCGCGCCAGTAACACCTTAGAAGCTCCTCAACTCGCTGCGGCACCACATATGCTCTCTTGGACTCTTGAAAAGGATGGCGGCATAGAATTCTTTC